GCTTTTAGTTGCACTACCTCAAAGACAGAAGCAGGCACACTTTTTTTTTTTTTTTTGAGTTTGTGGCCATCTTGGTCTACATAGCTAGTTCCAGGTCAGCCAAATAACCTGTCTCAAAAACAAAAAATAACAAGGGTTGGCTGGGGGAGGGGGGGAAGAATTGTGAATGGAATATAAAATGAAGTTAAAACATAAGTTAAAATTTAAAAACAAACAAAATCTTTGTCACTTGGTAAATTCTGTCTTGTACTGGTATCTCATTAGTACTTCATGCCTTCTTTGTGAGATACTGAAGATAAGGAAAACAGGAATTCATTTGGTACTGTTGATCTTCCCACAGCTGTTTTCTCATCTATCTATAAGGTCCTTGGCTTGTGCCAACTAAGCAGCAAGGTCTGAGTAAAGTGTAGTAATTGATGCTTCCGAGTGCAAAGTGTTAGCTGTGTCTCTTAGTGCCACTCTTTCAGCAGAATAGAAATTAATATTTGTTATCTGGACAAAGTATATAAACAACCTCTGTGTATAGCTCGGACAAGTGACATAAAAAGGTCTTCTGTGCAGAAATAACGTGCTTTATATTGACTGAGTTGTGGAAACTTCTTCAGCCGATAGCATTTAAGATACAGGCCCACTTTGGGTGAAGTCTCATGTACTATAAGTGCAGACAAAAAGTGTGCACAGCCCCCTCCCCCCACACACACACCTTTTTTTTTTTTTTTCTGGATTCGGTTCCAGTTTCTAGTGTGTGCAGAGATCTGTGGATCGCTACCCTTATTATGAGTTTATCTCCAAATAAACAAACCATTGTTATTCTCCATTCCTAGCTATTGTGGAACTACCATTTGGCACCTAGCTACACTGAGCTTTAGATTTCTGCCGACTTGATATGATATAGTCATGTGTTACTGTTTTAAAGTTCATACACAAAGTAATAAGGAATGAAGGCCTGTTTGGCATTTTTAGTGAAGAGAAGTATCTTCTGGAATAATGGGTTTGATAATCTGGACTGTCAGAATTTGTCATCAATTAGCTTGGCCTGTGAGTTGAGGTAACCTGTTGTGAATGAGGTAGTCTGTAGATCATGACTGTCTGGGTGGTTATATTTTCTTTTCACATTCCTACTTTGAGATGAGTGACTGACACATGTAGTGGAAGAAGCCAAACAGTTTTCAGATACTTGAAAATACTAGAGGTTTCAGGTTTCATTCCTAGGTAAGATGCTTTCAACTCTTATGAATGTTAAGTTTCTGAGTAATTTCTGTATATCTGCTGATGTTCCATTGTAGTAGGTGAAGGTCTTACAGCGCTCTTTCCAGTCATTCCTAGCAACATAGTTGTATTCCTGTGTGTCTTCATTATCCATCACTGATGAGCAGCTGTATTTGCTTTTCTGTACATTGCTTTTTTTTCTTGGAGTTTTTTTCCTTTCTTTTCTTTTTTTCTCTTTCTTGATTTGTTTTTAGTTTGAGTGTTTTGCCTGTATATTTGCATGTGTGTGTGTATGCATGTATGTTTGCACTTGCATGCAGTGTCCGTGAAGGTCAGAAGAGGGTATCAGAACCTGGAACTGTGAGCTGCCATGAGACAGTTATGAACCTGGATACTCTGTCCCCTGCAAGAGCAGCAAATGCTCTTAACCAATGAGCTATCTCTCCAGCTCTTCATATATATATATATATATATATACACACACACACACATATACATATACATATGTAATTCCTGCATTTTATGTGTATGTTTTGCCTCCATCTATGTCTGTATACTATGTACATGCCTGTTACCTGTGGAGACCAGAGGAGAGTCAGTTAGATTCCCCTGGAGCTAGAGATGGTTGTGCTTGAAATTGAACCCAGGTTCTCTGGAAGAGCAAACTTAGCCACTGCACCATCTCTTCAGCAACCTGCTCCTCCTCCTGTGCCTTTTTTAAAAAACCTATTTAGCTTTCTTTAAATTTCTGACATTTACTGATTCCCTCCTATAGCTAGGTCATTTGTTTGTTTATTTATGAGACAGAGTCTCATGCAGCTTTGGCTGGCCTAGAGCTTTCTATTTAGACCAAGCTAGCCCCTGCCTCATAAATACTGGAACTAAAGGCATATGTCTCTCTGACAAGTTAATTTTTAATTCAATTTTTGTTTTTTTTGTTTTTTTTTTTTTAGTTTAACTTTGTAAACTTTTCAGATAATTTATTGGCTCTAGTATTTTTTTTTAAGTTTTTCCCCTCTGGGATCACTTAATATTGATTATTCTGTGAGTTTGCTGTGTAGCTATTTATTGTACTAAGACTTACTGGGATTTCTTACCATTTTTGTTTTTTGTTATTTTGTCTTTTTTTTTTTTTCTGGGGCTGAGGACCGAACCCAGTGCCTTGCGCTTGCTAGGCAAGCACTCTACCACTGAGCTAAATCCCCAGCCCCACCATTTTTCTTATAATGATCCTTTCTCCTTAATCTTTGTTTTTATTTTTTTAAGATTTATTTATTTATTATTTATACAGTGTTCTGTCTGTCTGTATGTCTGCAGGCCAGACTAAAAGAGGGCACCAGATCTCATGGATGGTTGTGAGCAACCATATGGTGGCTGGGTATTGAACTCGGGACCTCTGGAAGAGAAGCCAGTGCTCTTAACCACTAACCACTGAGCCATCTCTCCAGTCTCCAATCTCATGTTTTTCTAGACCAGTGGTTCTCAACGTTCCTAATGCTGTGATCCTTTAATATAGTTCCTCATGTTGTGGTTGACCCCAACTATAAAATTTTGTTTCTTGCCACTTTATGACTAATTTTACTATTGCTATAAAGCATAATTGAAGGCGTAAGTCACGAACAGTGCCACACCAGTTTGGAGTTATGATTAATAGGGTGTTATTTATTTAAAGGGGAAAAAACTTACAGATCACCGTCCCAGACAACAGCCATCTGCACAACCAGGAAGGGAGTCTAGTCTCCGGCGGAGCAGGAAGTGAAGAGCAAGCGGAGGAAGTAGCCCTTTTTTTTTTTTTAAAGGGAGAGAAACCACGCCCCAATGGGCTGGTACCTCAGCAGCTATTGGTTGGAGGGGCGGAAGGACCTCCCGCAACACATAATATCAATTTCTGTGTTTTCTGATGATCTTTAGCAATCCCTGTGAAAGGCTTATTTGAACCCCAAAGGATTCTCGATCCCTAGGTTGAGAACCATCATTCTAGAAGCATTTACTTCCTCGTTTTGCTAAAGTCAGTTCTTTAGTAGATTCCTGAAAGGGGGCCATGTAGAAAAAGCTCTGGCTAGATAGCATTGACTGGCCTGGTATTCACTGTATAGGCTAGGCTGTCCTTGAACTTGGGCCAGTCATTCTGCCTCAGTCTCTCAAGCAGTCAAATTTTCTTAGAATGTTGAAACTTTGTTCTTTCATACTGGTTTCCAGATGCTACTACCGCTTTTTGTGTATTTTATTTTCTTTTTGAATAGTTTCCCCAGTTCTGAAATCTATAATGATATATATTGTTTTTTTAAATTATTCACTGTGATAGGCTTAATTAAACAGTTCACATCTTTGAAGTCAGATGACACTTCATAGACTTGTCTTAATTTCTCTTATTTTCAAACTATCCTGATGTTCTTAATTTTCAGTTGTTTTCAGTGGTTTATGAATTTGCATCCTACCTCTGTCTTCTGTGTGCTGGGATTAAAGGAGTGTGCCACCACACTTAACAAAATAGGGCTTTATTTTTGATGTCATAGGCATAGAAAAGCCTCACTCTTGTCACTTTTCTGAGTCTTATCATATAAAAGTCAATGTTATTTTTTAATTTGCTAAATTTATTCATAAAGAAAATTAGTATGTTAATTTTTGTTGTATATTATGAGCTATACAGTTCTATATTAATAATTTTAAAGTATGGATAATAACTCTTGAGTATTTGCTATATCAGTCACCATTCTAAACAATTTTTTTGAAACAGTCTTACCATGTAGCCCTGGTTGGCCAGGTTAGTCTTGAACTGTCTTGCCCAGCTCTATTCTAACCATTTTATGAATTACTCTTAATTTCTCCCAAAGTCTGATATTATAGATTATTGCTTTATTATTTTCTGATATATTACCGTTCTGTCATAATTATGAACCCAAAATGAAATACTAAAATTTTGACAGAAATTCAGCTCAAGAAATTCAGTGTCTGTTTATCTGTATATTTGAAGCAAGGTAAGTATGAGTATTTAAAAACACCGAGAGGGACAACATACACTCATTTAGTGCATCATCTCTAGTTCTTTGTCTGAAGTTTACATAGGTGTAGTTGAAGCACTTTAGTGCCTATGACTTGGACTGTAAAGAAAGTGATAATTTTTGTTACTGGAGGGAACCTTTGACATCATCTAACTAGTAATGTTCAAAGTGTGTTCTATAAAGCTTCAAGTTCTAGCTGTGTCTTGCTGCTTCAGTCTCCCTGAGTTTCTAAACTTTAAAGCTGGTTATTGTCCAGTATAAAAGCCACTTGTTATAACAAATGGCCAATTAATAGCATTTTTCCCTGAAGAGCTGTTACCTGCTTCTTACCAGCTGTTGAGGGATATGGCTTCAACATGTCCAAAGTTGTGTTTTTGTCCTTGTACAATGTTATTTATCGTCATCACCATCGTATGTATGTCAGTGTCAGGTCTCTCTTAGTTAAGTTTTATGCCTTTGAGATTGGTTTGTTTGGGGTTTTTCTTTTCAGGGGTTTCTCTGTGCAGCTCTGGCTGTTCCAGAACTCACTCTATAGACCAGGCTGACCTCAAATTCACAAAGATCCTTCTGCCTCAACTTCCCAAATGCTGGGATTAAAGGTGTGTGCCTCCACTGCTATGCTTGCCCTTGAGGATTGCCTTATGTATTGTGGTAGTTAATTGTTTCTTAAGACTGTAGAGAAAGCAGTCTCACCAGGAAATACTAAGGGAAGTACAAAGTTTTAGAAGTAAAAAGATGTTGAATTCCCCCATGTTAAAATTGTGTTACTGACGTTCATTTACTTTTCAGTTATTCAAGAGAAGAAATGTCGCTACAGCAGAAGAAGAAACCGAAGAAGAAGTTATGTCAGATGGCGGCTTTCATGAGGCCCAGGTTAATAACATGGAGATGGTCCCAGTAAGTATGATAGTAAAGCGAACTCTTTGGTGTGTGATGAAGCTAAGAGATGTTGGTCTTCTTGAGTTTAATAGAAAGGTTAAGTTAATTGGACATGGTGATGTCTTTATATAATACCAGTACTAGGGAGTCTGAGGAAGGAGGGTAGTTAGAGGCATTCCTTGACCTCATGGACCCTGTTTCTAAATCAAAGCAAAACAAAAAAAAGTCTGTTAAAAATACCTGTGTTGAAACATCTCATTGTACTTCATAAGTGTATACAACTTGTCAAGTACAGATGAAGGGTGGGGACAGGTGAGATGACTCAGTAGGTAAAGCTGCTTTCCTCCAAGCCCGGGTTCAGTCTTTGTGACTTACATGGTGGAGGGTGAGGACTGACTCCCTCTTGTCCTGATTGCCACAGGTACCTGTGGCACATGTACCCTCCCCAAAGGTGTGATAATAAAACCAACATGTATGTATAATTAATTAAATAATTTTAGGTATAGCATATAAAATATGCTATGCATTTATGAAAATGTCTCATTGAATGCAGTTAGCGTATATATCTTAAAGATGTATTTCTTTTTAGGGGTAGTTTAAGACAGGACTTTTCTATGTAGCCTTGGCTGTCCTGGAACTCACTCTGTAGACCAGACTGACCTTGAATTCATAAGATCTGCCTGCCTCTCAGCTTCTTGAGTGCTGGATTCAAAGGCAGTTCTATTTTTATTTTATTTATACAAGTGTTTTGCCTGCACGTATGTAAATGTGTACATGCCTGATGCCCATGGAGGCTGAAAGAGTACTGAATTCCTTGGAACTAATGCCATGTCAGTCCTGAGAACTGAACCCAGGCCCTCTGCAAGAATAGCAAGTGCTCTTAATGGCTGAACCCTCTCTCTAGCCCCCTGTTTTGAACAGTTAATATATTCTAATAGAAATCACATGCATACATCTTTGTGCTGGGTATTTAACTCAGGTCCTATTTCAGCGTAGAGACAGCATTGACACTGAGTAGTACTTGTTAGTTTTAGGGCTATTGCTTTCATGGTAAAAATTGTTTGAGATTTATATTCTGATAAGTTCGATAAGGCATGGACTTAAGACACAGTAGTCAAGGGTTTAAGGTCTTATAATTTAATAGGCTTGAAATTTAGGAGGTAGTGGTGACTCACACCTCTAATCCCAGCACTGGGAAAGCAGAGACAGGTGGACCTCATGAGTTCAAGGTCAACCTTGTCTACAAAGTGAGTTCTAAGGCAGCCAGGGCTACACAGAAAACTCTATGTCATCCCCCCCCGCCCCCCCCCCAAAAAAAGCCTTAGAGAAGTCACTTCCCATGAGGTGAATAAACTCAGAGGAGAAGAGCTTGGGTGTCCATGAGGCAGCTTAGCTTGAGCTTGGTCCCCAAGATGAAGTGTGACACACTGACCAGTTACATCCGTCTTACAAAAGTGAACCAAGAAAATCCCAAAATAAACCACAGACAACGCAGGCTCGCTTTTGTACCATTCTGATCATCCAATTAGGAATCAGTGAAATTTTTGAGATGAAAAGAAAATAGATACAAAGTTGTACATACGTCTCAAAATAAATTCATTACATATCTATAATATGAATACAATGTACTTAATGTAGGCTACAATTAGAAAAATGTACTATTTTAATAATAGGAGGTCACTGTTAAACTAATTATAAATGGGTAAAGAATACAAGGATATATACAGACATAGGTGAGTTAAAAACCTATTAGATAAAGGATCATAAGAGTAACTATAGCTAAGGAAGTATTTCAGAACATTTATTGTACGTATATCTGAGTAAGTAGTTACAATAATTTTCCCATCGAAGATTTCATTAGAAAACAAATGAAGCAGTTTTGTGTGCATTGAATTAACCCAGGAACTTGAGCATATTGGGTAAGAACTCTACCAGTGAGCTCCATCTTAGCTCCATGAATGGTGGTCTCAAACATTAATTTGGTGGGACTGTTCGCAAGACTTGTGGGAAACATAGTTTGCCTAACTAAGTCAAGAGGGATTTGAAAAGGAAGTGGTTTCCCCAACATATATAACTCCTTTAGAATTGATGAAGATATGGCCAGCATTTTAATCGGTTTGGTAAATTTTTCTCAGGCCTTTAGAAGATCTGTCTTTGAGCCAGGTGGTGGTGGTGTACACCTTTGTACTGGGCTGTAGAGGCAGACAGGTCTCTTGAGTTCGAGGCCAGCCCGGTCTATAGAGCTAATTCCAGGACAGTCAGGGCTACACAGAGAAGCCCTGTCTGAGCGCAGTGGGGGTGGGGGGGTGGGGGGGAGTTGGTCTTTCCAACTACTAAGGAGAATACTAAGTGAATATGGTAATGTTGGTAATGTTTGTTGTTGTTTTGTTTTGAGTTTTTGGAGGGGAGTTTTGAGACAGGGTTTCTCTATGTGTTGGACCCTAGAGTCCAATTACCGAGGAGGATTCGCCCAAGAAAACACTCACACCGCAGTTGATGTAAAAGCAAGAGGATTTAATTCTGTTGCGACAGGGTCTTTCAGCATTCGAGAATCCAAAAGACCCCGAATAGCTGTACAGGCTACTTTTAAAGTAAAAAGCCACAGAAACAAGGGGAGAGTCTGGGGGTTGTTTTTCCAACTATTACGTTTGGCAGATTCAAAGGGCTACTAGCAATGATTGTTCTTAGCCACAGCGAGAGAGTGGTTGCTAGATCAGGCGGGGTAAGGAGGAATCATCTGTGAGTCATCCTAACAGTATCTGAGTCAATATCCCCTGACCAAGGCTGAGCAACTGAGTCAACATCTATGGGTTATCTTGCCCTAATTCCAAAACTGAATTCTATTTGGAGAGCATCCACAAGATCAATGAGTCAACATCTATGGGTTATCTTGCCCTAATTCCAAAACTGAATTCTATTTGGAGAGCATCCACAAGATCACAGGGAGATGGAAAATCCCCAACATTCTAGTATGGGCAGAATAGAAGGTGTTAGGTCCTTGGTTCCCAGGGGAGGGGGGAGCACTAATGCTGAGAGGCCTCAGAAATGGCCTCTGAGTTGTCCTAGAGTTTTTCATATGTATCTCTAGCTTTCCTGGAACTCTCTCTGTAGACCAGGCAGTCTTCAAACTCATAAAGATTCACCTGCTTCTGCTTCTTGAGTACTGGGATTAAAGGTGTGTGCCACCACTGCTGAACCAGTAATTTTTTTAAAAGTATTTATTTTAAAATATGTATATAGATGTCTGGGGGGGCGTTACATACTTGTATGTGTGGGTGCCTGAGAAGGCTGGAAGTGAGATCAGATCCCCCTTAGTGGGAGTTACAGGTACTTCTGAGTGGCCCCATATGAGTTCTAGGAACAGAACTTGAGTTTTTTCAAGTACAGTATATATTCTTAACTGCTGAGTTAACTCTTCATGCCCTATGAATGTAGTGTTCGAGATGCATTAGTCAAGGTTTCTAAGAGAGACGGGGAGAGGGGCAAAGAGAGAGGGAAGGGAGTGATTGAGTAGTGGCTTTTGTGATGGCAGCTTGCAACCAAGTAGTCTGTAGGGGAGGTCAGCAGGCTGGAAACTCAGGAAGCATCGCTGTTGCAGTCTGAGTCTGAATTCCTTCTCTTTGGGGAAACCTCAGGCTAAAAGGCCTTTAGCTAATTAAGGTCACCCCACATTATGAAAACCAATCTTAGAATCTGCTCTATTCAGTTGTCCTAATTTAAATGTTAATCACATCTAAAATACTTTCAGAATAACATTTTGACTAGTATTTGTCTAGGGAACCTGGTTGACACGTGAAATCAGCTGTCAGAATCTACTCCTTATTTGTTAGGCATACCCCCCCCTTTTTTTTCAACCATATTGAGCTTCAGAAAAGATAACAAAGTTGTTCCTTCATCTAAAATGGTATAGCTTTTCTACATAACCAACCTTCTCCCTAGAAGGGGTTGCTAAAAGTTTGGGTAGTGTTCACTTCCCTTCTTGATGTCCTATAATTTAAATACCATGATATAAATCTGTACAGCTATAAAAGAGGATATAAAAAGAAAAAGATAGTTGTTTGCTACATTTATAATACTACCATGCACACAGATATACAGCTGGTTTTGTACGTGTGAAAACATTTGTAACAGTCCCTTAAACACTTGTTTACTAAGGAATCAATTTTGCTGCATTGAAAACAGTTGCTTTTCTAATCTTAAGCAGAATGCTTCATAAATTCCCCTATGGAAATTCAGACAGGATCTCACTATGTAATAGCTGGTGTTAAATTCTCTACCCCCTTGCTTTAGCCTTTCTTTGCTGGGGTTTCAGCATGCGCCACCACACATGATCCTCTAATGAGAATGTTTTGATTTTTGGGTTTGTTTTTGTTTTTTCAAAACAGGGTTTCTCTGTGTAATGGCTGTCCTGGAACTCACTTTGTAGACTGGAGTTGGCCTCGAACTCACAGAGATCCGTTTGCCCCTGTCTCCCAAGTGCTGAAATTAAAGGTGTGTGCCACCATCACCCAACTTCTAATAAGAAATTTTAAGTGTTAGAGTTTTATTGTCAATTACATAGTATTTCCAGAACTCAGTGCAGATTTCTCTATAATTCTACTAAATTTAACTTTTCTTTTCCTTCATTCCTTCTTCCTTCCCTTTTGTCCTTTTTTATTTTTATTTTTGCATCTTTATTATTATTATTATTACAAATTTTCGCCTCCTCTCATTTCCCTCCTTCTCCCTCTCTAGTCCTAAGAGAAGTCAGGGTGCCCTCCCCTGTGGGAAGTCTAAGGCTCTCCCCTCTCCATCCAGGTCTAGGAAGATGAGCATCCAAACAGACTAGGTTCCCACACAGCCAGTACATGCAGTAGAATCAAAACCCAGTGCCATTGTCCTTGGCTTCTCAGTCAGCCCTCCTTGTCAGCCACGTTCAGAGAGTCCGGTTTGATCACACACTTCTGTCTAATAAGCCTTCAATAAAAGTGCCATTTATACAGACTCTTAGCTTTGGTCTTTGATCGTTAATAGAAGTCTGCCAAAATAGACGTTTACTCTGTCCTACTGGGTTTTTTGACTCATTCTCCATGTATAATTCATCATTTAGACCAGTATTACTTTTTACAGCAGAAATTGGAGCTTTTAATTTTCTTGGTGAGGCACGTTCTCCACTGTGACTGGGAATGACTGGGCCACTGTTGGCTTGGGGGCCTGCGAGAGGCCCCTCAAGGAGTTTCCAGGCGGTATCGGGTTGCCTTGTTTGTCTGTTGTTGACCTGCATTCGTTGACCAATGTTGGCCTTTACCGCATCTCCTACATATACCTGAAGGCCTAGGTCTCCTATTTTTGTCATTCCCAGAGGAGATATTATTCCTAGAAATTCTGTTCTTGCAATCCCTTTTCAGATGTCCTAATTTACCACAATTAAAACACCTGGCAGTTTGATGTCTCCTCATTGCTGTGGAAACCGCTTCTCCTACCCAAGATTCATCATTATAGCTAAATGCCTCAACATTCATCGTATGCTAAATCCATTCATCCATAGGTGCTGATCTAGACTTTAAAGGCCCAATTATATTTTTGCATTCTATGTTTGCATTCTCAAAAGCTAGAGATTCAAGAAGTATTCGCCTAGATTCTGGGTCTGTTACCCCTATGTCCAGAGCCTTAATTAATCTTTGCAAAAAGTCAATAAAGGGTTCTCTCTGTCCCTGCCTAATTCTGGTATATGATTCAACCCTTTTTTCTGGATCTTGTATCCTATTCCAAGCATTTAAAGCTGCTTGGTGACATAGACACAGTACTTCATCATCATAAAGAGCTTGGACCTGTGGATCAGCATATTCTCCTGCACCAAGAATTTGATCTTGGGAAACCTTGACACCTTTTGCTCTTCCTTGCTGTTCCATATGTTTGGATTCTTCTCTGAAATAAATTCCAAACATCAAGGAAGGTCCCTTATCTAAAACTGCAGACACTAACTGATGGAAATCATAGGGGGCAGCTCTAGCATTAGAAGCCCAAGTCCTTATCATTTCCTTTACATAATTATTGTGCAAACCAAAATTAACAATAGCCTGCTTAATTTCTTTTAGATCATTCATTGCTATTGGCGTCCATCTAGCTTCTCTGACTCCCTTTGAGCCTTTAGAAGTTGACGCTTTGTCAGAATTAAGTATAGGGTATGTAGCAAAAACCTTGGGTAAGCCAGTTCTAATAGCTGGTGTTGGCATTGGATCCTGTCCTTGTGCCTTATTATTCTGTTCACCAGCTCCAATAATTTCTTCAATCATTTCAAGTCTTTTTATTATTGTCTTCATTATTGCCTCTTTTGAATCCTGAATCTCCTGACCTGCATGAGTTTCTAGTAGATAGTATGGTTCTTGGGAGTGCCATATTCTTCCTAAATGATAGAATATGCAAAAGAATACTAAAACCTAGTAGCCAGTAAATTAAGTTATCCTCATAGTCATATAAACCTTGCATGATAAGACCCATTGTATTGGTAGCCCAAACAGTTAAATTCATGTTGGAAACGAAAACTGCCATATTACCTATTATCCAGCAGGTGGCGCTGTTGCCAAGTCTCGACGAAACTGGGTTCCTGTTTGAGGGTCTGCCGAAATCCGCCAGTCTCTGCCTCCCGAGTGCTGGGATTAAAGGCGTATGCCACCACCGCCTGGTAGGCCTCAGAGATCGTCCTGCCTCTCTGGATATTATGGGCCTGAAGGCCGAGTGTATCTCGGACACTGGGGCCTAAGTCACAACTAAACAAAAAACGGCATACAGGGAACCATAAACCCAGAATCCAGGGGTAGAGAAGAATAAGCAGGAAGCCGTGTATGCCTCCACGTGTATCCCTCCCTGAGGGGTTGCAGCTTCTACAACCGGCAACCACGTGCTCTGGTTCACATCACTTAAGAGCTGTACTTGCAAGGGAGACTTAACTCAGAAAAGAGTAAGCCACGCAGGCAGAGACTACGCGGGCCTGTGGATTTTAAATCCACGTGGGGAGGCAGATGATAGGGTGCGTGGGGACTTGAAGTCAATCTGAGGTGTCTAAAAAAATATAAAGAACTGCAGCAAGAAAAGCCAGTGCGTGATAATTTATATTAAACTGCTGGCTCCATGCACAAGGCACAGGCTACACGGCTGCCGCAAGGCACAGGCCACGGCTAAGGAAGGGAGGGCTCGCGCCAAGCCGAACTCGAGCGGGGGAAGGAGAGGTCCTAAAAGCCAAACGTTCGGGCGCCAGATGAAGGCGTAAGTCACGAACAAGGCCACACCAGTTTGGAGTTATGATTAATAGGGTGTTATTTATTTAAAGGGGAAAAAACTTACAGATCACCATCCCAGACAACAGCCATCTGCACAACCAGGAAGGGAGTCCAGTCTCAGGCGGAGCAGGAAGTGAAGAGAGAGAGCAGAGGAAGTAGCCGCTTTTTTAAAGGGAGAGAGACCACGCCCCAATGGGCTGGTATCACAGCAGCTATTGGTTGGAGGGGCGGAAGGACCTCCCGCAACACCCCTCATGGTCCTGACTTCCTTGCTTTTGTTCTCTCCTCCTCATTTGGACCTTGGGAGCTCAGTCCAATGCTCCAATATGGGTCTCTGTCTGTATCTCCATCCATCGCCAGATGAAGGTTCTATGGTGATATGCAAGATATTCATCAGTGCGGCTATAGTCTAGGGCCAGTTCAGGCGCCCTCTCCTCAGCTGCTCAAGGAGCAAGCTGGGGACATCTCCTTGCACACCTGGGAACTGCTCTAGAGTCCAGTCTCTTGCCAACCCTAAAATGGTTCCCTTAATTAAGATATATACTTCCCTGCTCCCATATCCACTCTTCCTCCATTCCAACTGTCCCATTCCCCCAAGCTCTCCCCATCCTCCCCTTCTCACTTCTCTCTCCTCATTTCCCCTTACCCCCTCCCCCCAAGCTCTCAATTTTTGCCTGGCAATCTTGTCTACTTCCAATATCCAGGAGGATAACTACATGTTTTTCTTTGGGCTCGTCTTCCTATTTAGCTTCTGTAGGATCATGAATTATAGGCTCAATGTCCGTTGTTTATGGCTAGAATCCACTAATGAGTGAGTACATACCATATTCATCTTTTTGGGTCTGAGTTACCTCACTCAGGATAGTGTTTTCTATTTCCATCCATTTGCATGCAAAATTCAAGATGTCATTGTTTTTTACTGCTGAGTAGTACTCTAATGTATATATATTCCACACTTTCTTTATCCATTCTTCCACTGAGGGGCATCTAGGTTATTTCCAGGTTCTGGCTATTACAAATAATGCTGCTATGAACATAGTTGAACAAATGCTTTTGTAGTATGATAGGGCATCAGCTCTTTCTATAGAGCAGGCTGGCCTCAAACTCAGAGATCGACTGCCTCTGCCTCCCAAGTGCTGGGATTAAAGGCTTACACCACCACCACCCTGCTAACTGTAACCTTTATTTAAAAAAAAAAAAAAAGTAACATGGTAGGGAACAGAAAATTTTAAGACAAATAGGGATTTAAGGACCTAATTTTTAATTTAGTGGTGGTTAGAATTTGGTTTCTGCAAGCCCACCACCAACTCCTTTACTTCTAGTTGAACATCTCATCTCTTATTTACAGCCATCATAGTAGTGATTGCGTATAGGAATACTTAATGCTGTCCTATTAATATATGCAATTTTACGTCTCAATACATCTGTTGAAAAAATAACACAAATGGCGAGGTTATTTACTTTCAAGGAGATTATTATAACTAGGAAGTTCAGGTGTTAACAAATAACCAGGAAAATACCTAGTGGTGATATGAATTTGGTATGTAGTATGTTGGGGATATGGGTTGTCTCAATTAGTATAGTGCTTGCCTAATATATATATATCCTTGAGTTCAGTCCCCAGTCCCACATAAATTGGGTCTGGGGGCAAGATCAGGAGGTTCAGTGTTGTCTTTGGCTACACAGAGCGTTTTGTAGATTCATGATACCTGTTCTTGAAAATAGAAAAGAATAGAATAGAAGTGACTGATGTAGCAGCTGAGCAATTGCTTTAGATTTAGAGGTCATGAAAAGAACTTTAAAATTTTGTATTTTACACATGTGGGTATTTTGCCTGCATGTATGCCTGTATACCACTTGGGTTTCTGGTGCTTATGGAGGCAAAAAGAGGGCTTGTTTTTACCCCAGGGCTGGATATACAAGTGGTTGTGAGCTGCCATGTGGGTGCTTGTACTTCAATCTGAGTCCTCAGGAAGAGCAACCAGTCTTCTTAACTGCTGAGCCATCTAGCCCAGTCTTTATATTTTCTAATATTTACTTTTGATAGCAGTAATAACCATACATGTGAGGAGCTGGGTGAAGAATGCTAATATGCCTCTTTCAGCATTTATTACTTGGATAGTTTTCTCACTATTATAAGCTGCTGCTGCTGCTGCTGCTGCATTTTCTTCTTCTGTTTTTAATGCCTTAGATTTTAAGGCAAGGTTTCTCTGTATAGCTATAGCTGTCTTGGAACTCACTCTGAAGACCAGGTTGCCCTCAAACTCAGCAATCCACTTGCCTCTTACTCCAGAGTGCTGGGATTAAAGGGTGAGACACCAAGGCCTGGCTGTCATGAGCTTCGTAATAATAGAGTCTGACTGACCTCTTCACATTAGTATGATCTTAGACAGTTCTGCATGTAAAGATTTATGTATTTGTATAACTTTAGGAAATGCATGATTTATTTGATAGTATTTTATGTTTTTTCTTTCCACTGAACTAAGGTTAATACTGTGTTATATTTGCTTATCTTTAATCCAGGGTGGGGTCATTACCTCTGACATGATTGAGATGATATTTTCAAATAGCCCAGAGCAACAACTTTCTGCAACCCAGAAATTCAGGAAACTACTTTCAAAGGGTAAGTCTTAGATTTATTGACTTTACTTTTTAATCTCTGTGTAAATTATTCCTTGTCCACAATCCCTTTTCTACAGCTCCTGCTAATTTCTTTTGTAGTAATGTGTTTTGTGAGTAGAAAAATAAAGAGGCATATAGATGTGTACAATTTTGAGCCCTGCATTTTGTTTCCTTACTTATTTCCCAGAAGGGAACCATTTGGGAGCTGTCATAAAAAGACCTTATAGTAAGTAAATAATAGCTTTTGCTCACAGAAATCGAGAAGCTCCGCTCTTTATTAAAAATTACTTGAGCAGTAATTACTGGTTTTAATATTAGTAGTTTACCACTGAAAGTTAAGTATAGATTTATTGTGGAATAGGATATTTCTTCTTTGTGTAATTAGAATAAATTGGAGTATAAAAAAATTCTGAGCCATATTAAAATATTATTAGTAAATAATGAACCATACAGTAGTAAGTTATGGTTGTTTAAAATCATTAGTTTTTAAAAATATATATGTCGTGAGCTGATAGCTGCATTAAAATGTCTACCACCTTAACATACACAGAAGGTATGACAATTTGGTAAAATTCTGTGGCATGTTCCTTTATAGCATGATTTTCCCACAAAAAGGCATTTTATAACCTGTACTTTGCTACATGTATTCTAGTTTGCCACCTTCCTTCTTAAAAATATGATAACTAGAGCATAGCACTGCGGATGTGTTTATTGCGGTAGTTGACGAGAGACTCGCTTCTTTGTCTTGAGAAGACTGCTCATTTCAGTGTCACTTTAAGAGAATAGTGTTGTCACAGCATAGTTCTACATTGAATTTTCAGCAAAGAAAACTCTTTACTTCGTGAACTATAGTTTTGAATGTTTTAGGTTTTTGTTGTTTTGACAAAACTTCTTGGCCAAAAGTAAGTCCCTTAGGGAAGGGACTTACTTGACTTAGTTCCCTTTCTTGTTTTATTGCTGTGATAAAACTTACCTTATAGAAGAGTTTACTTGGGTTTGCAGTTCCAGATGGCTAGAGTCCCAGATGGTGGAGGAGCGGTAGCTGAGAGCTCATATCTCAGAACACTGAGGAAGCAAGAGCACGAATGATAGCAACTGGGGACCAAGTGTTCAAAGGTGTGAGACGTATGGGGAATAAGTTGCAGTTGCTTACAGCCCATCGTAGAGTGTTACATGCCAAAGAACACACTTGATGGCAGAAAAAAGTATGGCATGTGCTATAGGGAATCCTGCTTGCTGGCTAGTAGGCAGGCTTATTATGTCCTCTTGATTTCTCACGCTGTTCAGGGCCACCTTCCTAGATAATGGTGCTACATATAGTGTGGGCTGGGCCCTCCTACATCAATTAACAGCCAAGATAATCTCTCACAGACCAATATGATGTGGCCAGTGTTTCAAGTGATATTCTCTTACCAGATAATTATGTCAAGTTGAGAGAACCTAATGAGGACAGTGAATTCATGTGGATTTTAAAAAAAAGCCTTTTAATAAATACAGTAACTAGGCCATCAAGGTGACTCAGATGATAAAGGCACTAGGCTCCAAGGCTGATGACCCGAGTTTGATCTCTGGAATGCATGTGGTATGAACCAAGTCTCGTAGGTTATTCTTCAACCTCCACACGTGTCGTGCCCCACAGGTCCACACACAGAAAGACAAACAAATAAATAAGTAAATTAAATATATAGTTGTTAAGCTGGGTACTTAGTTGTCTGCCACCAGGAGATGGAGGTAGGATCTCAGAATTTAAGACTAGCCTTGCCAACATAATGAGATCGCATCTTAAAATATAAACAAAAACAAATCAACTGTTGTGGCTTAGAAACATGACTTACAGTGGACTTGCCTGTGATACACAGAACCTGGGGTTCATCCCCTATGCTGGCAAACAGAACAACCAAGATTGCTTTTGTTTTATTCTCCTGATTTATTGTCATTTTTGGTGCGTTACTCTTTATTTTCTATGATGTTTCTGTAATTCAGAATATTAACTAGTTTATCTTTATTACTACAAGGTTTGTTACATTTGAGTGATTGATAAAACTGTTGAACAAGGCAAAAGACATGTTACTAGAATGCCTTCCTTCTAAATCAACAATAAACTAAATTGTCAAAATAAAAGCATAGGGCCTTAATGTAGCACACAGGTTTCCCTGTAAGTTGCCATGAGGATAACCTGAACTCCGGATCTGCCTCTGATCTGGAGTGCTGGGATTATTGGTGCGGACCACCATGCTTGGTTTACCTTTTACAGTGCGGCTATTGACTTTTGTCATGGGTCTCCCTAGGCAGTACTGTTCTAATGTATTTTTCTGGCATTGCATACACAAAAGGAAAAGTCTCTTCTGAAATTATTGGCCAGATTATCTGATATTTTCTGTCTGCTCACCCAGTAATTGTTTATTAAATGCCAATTTATACTCATCCTCATAAATCAAAGTGAGATTAATTTGGCAAGTAAGTGTTAATGAATTCTTGCTGGCACTTTCTTGTTAGTGCTACTGTGAAATCCTATAAGCATACTGAGAATCCTGTCATTCAGGTTGTTTAGGCAGGTCTAATAAAAACACAAGGTTGAAACCTTTTGTATGGAAAAAGGGCCAGAGGAGCGTATACCAGAATGCTAGTAGCAGGTGGCTTTGGATTTCCCTGCTTTCTTGATTTTTTTTTTTTAAATAGTGGATCATGACCCTTTTGGGGGGGATTGAATTAGCTTTTCAAGGGGTCACATTAGATATCTTGCATATCTTATTTACATTATGATTCACAACAATAGCTAACTGCAGTTATAAAATAGCAGTGAAATAGTTTTATGGTGGAGCGTCATTAAAGGGTGCAGCATTAGGAAGGCTGAGACCCACTGTAGCAAATGCATTAATTTTAAGAAATATTGGGACCTGATAATGTAGCTCAATGATAAGAATTATTGGCTTGGCATACAAGGTTCAGCACTGAGGGTGCATACATAAAAGATTTCCCTTGTACTGCAAAAACAAAGAATTTTGCCCTTCCTTCATTTTAATATGTAAGCTTATATTTTTGTGATACCTTTCAAGCTACACTGCTTTAAAAGTGACCAAATTCAATATTAACCTTTTTGGAGGGGATAGATTTCTAATATGAAAGTTGGCCAATGAATGATCAGGGGGGTATTGTGACTAACTTTGATCTATAAAGTCATTTTATTGAAATCTTTTGTTTTATTTTATGGGGAAACAGAACCTAATCCTCCTATTGATGAAGTCATCAACACACCAGGAGTAGTGGCCAGGTTTGTGGAGTTCCTCAAACGAAAAGAAAATTGTACACTGCAGGTGCGGATATTTCATTTCTTGCCTTAGAACTTAATATGAGTTTCTAATCTGTATGAAGGCTTGTTTGTTTATAATAGTATGGGTGATAACTACCTTGTAAACTGCTTATATAGGTTTGTTAACATGTAGGTGTCCTGACCAATACTTGCTAGAATTTGTGTCTCATTTGAATTTTTCGCAGTAGGACTTGTCATAACCAGGAGCCTATGCAAGTTATGTGAAGTTTCTTGTGTGTGTTTGTGTGTGGGTGTTGTTCTCAAGATGGTGTATATAATATATAACATGGACTGGCCTAGAAACTTGAAATCAAACCCGGTCTTACTAAACCACAAGAAAACTTTGCCATAAGTTTGATTTTCTTCTAACGGACTGTACAAAGAGTTTACCACCTAATGATTGAATTTTTTTTTATTTTTTTCTAGTGTTAATTTTTAACTTTTTTATTTTTATTTTATGCGCATTTTAATTTTTAACTTGTTTATTTTTATTTTATGTGCATTGTCGTTTTGCCATGACTGTCGGGTCCCCTGGAACGGGAGTTACAGACATTTGTGAGCTGCCATGTGGGTGCCGGGAATTTTGAACCCTGGTCCTCGGTGCTTTAACCACAGAGCTGTCCCTCCAGCCTCCTAGGATTGAATAATTTTTACAGTAAGAGGAGCCAGCTGTCAAACTCACAGCCTTTGAGTATCTGGAATTCTAAAAGTACTACTTTTTTCCCTGGGTAAAGTTAAACTTTTGCTACTAATTTGATTGTTCATTAGCAGATTCCTTTAATATCTGAATTATTGACAAATACCTATAATCCATAAATTCTCACCAAGGTCTTTTATGTAATATGAAGGGCTCAGGTCTTTCAAAGGTAACATGTAGCTATAAAATTTGGTTACATTGCAAGTAGATCACAAGATGGGAGAAATACTTGCCAATCATAAGGCAATTTCTGCCTCCATTGTCACTCTTGATTGAGGCATTTCATAAATGGCTAATTCCTGTCCCAGGCTCCTTATTGCAGATGATTTGTTAGTCTTAATGCTTTGTCTTGGTACTTTCTCTCCTCCTGCTCCATCTTTCTCTTTATCTTACATCTTTATTGTGGTGATGAATGTCTTCCAGAGGAGAAGGAGGAAATCCAGCAAAGGTAGAGTACTTCTCTGTCCCATCGATTTTCTTCTCCAGTTTGACCTTTGCCAATCCCTGTGATGATTTGAATTAAGATTCTGTTTTGCTTGATGCCTCCTGGATTGTTGTAATTCTGGCCTCCATCTAAGTCCAGAATCACCAGACAGTTGAAAAGTTATATTTACCCTGAGAGCAAGGAAAGAGAGTTTTCTCAGGAAAAAAAAAAAAAAAGGAAATCCAGATGACCAACACTGCAGAGAACAGAGCCTGACCCCTAAGCGACCTGCCAAGAGACCATGGGGATCAAAAGAGGAGACTTACTGCAGTTTATCATTCCAAATGGTTTGTAAGAAAAGGGAGATAGGGAAGATGACTATTCGTTCATTACAAATCCTAAAAATGTTGCTCTCCAGTCTCTAGAAAGGAGTGTACTTGAGTGGTAGCAGTTATACTCAGGTAGGCAGTTTTTAATTCGGTGCTTGTAGAGGTCTACTCTCTTATGCACTAAAGAAGTAAAGCAGAAGCTTCCAGAATTAAAATGAAAAAATCTTGAGAAATGAATCTTGTCTCTATACTCTACTGTACTCTTGTCTATAAGCATTATACTATGTTCTTATACAGTGCCCTTTTCTGACTGACACATAAAATTCTCTATTATTTTGTGATTCATTATCTGTTAGAACTTAGGTGAAGCCTTCAAAGTCTCTGATTTGCTTTTATCTAAATTTCTAGATTCCACCCTTTTCCAGACTAGTAATTGGGATGAAAGACTGAAAAATAATTTCTCTGAAGTGAGCACTTCATGAATTGTTACCTCAGTTATCTAAGATTGGGAAGTAACCAGTCTAGTGTTTGAGGTCATTGTCTCCAGCTTTCCTTCTGCATGTAAAGTACATCATGGCATTCTCTCTCCAGTCTGAGTTTGGGTGACATCGATCACCTCCAAAGCAGTTAAGAACAATTATGCTCAGGGAGGAGCCAGGGACATAAGTGCTCTGCCATCTGTCTTCAGATAATTAGATGTTTTGGGAAGCTTGGAGGGAATTCCTTGCCTTGTGACTTGGGAGCAGCACTAAATGTAAGACAGCGAGTAATACATCTTTAGAATAGGTTTTGCCATTTCTCTTTTCACAAAGAGACTGATAGTCTATGGCACAAATGAAATTGGGTGGCTTAGTTCAATAATAAATCCCAGGGCCAAGTTTTTTTCATCCTTTAGCTAAAGAACTGAGTTTTAGTGAACGTCACTACTCTTTGTCTTCTCAGATCAGTGGATTGTCTCAAATAAGAGAGCCCTACATGTCTTCTTTGGAACATCACTACCCAAATACTATCTTGCCATTCAAACTGGAGGTGAATACAGGTTGAATCTAGCAGTTGGGGATTAGGCAGTACCTTAGCTTTAGAGTGTTGTCAGGCTTAGTGACACCCTCTAGCCTTTGGTAGGAGACTGCTCTACCTTGAGTAGTCTGTGGGCTCACTTGTTTGAGGTCAGGTCCAGCATCTTTATACTATCTTCTGCAGTGCTAATATACTGCGCTGCCAAACTTTTAAAGTTTTATCTAGAAACGATAAATTACTTCTTACTTCTAATTATTAGATGGCACTCCTCCAGAAGTTGTAAATTTGAATGAAGTTGGCTTAGCTTTTTTTGTCCTTTCTTGGCTTTCTTGTCCCCTCTGGAAGCTTAGTGTGATAAACTGCAGTAAACCTTCATCCTCTTCCCTCCCTGTCTTCACTGGTGTCTCTCCGTTTCCTGGAGGCTTGCTCAGATATCTCAGGTGCTCTTCTCTGCAGAGTTTGATAATCTGGGTTATTTTTCTGATGTGAGCCTTTCTTTTCACTTGCTCTCCAGGTGAGCCTGGCATTTGCTAGGAACCAGAGTGGAACCGGCAAAGTGGCCAGCAACAGAGTCCTGATCCAAATGGAGAAAGGGAGCCAGGCGTACATCAACCTGGAGTGGGAAACTTGATAGGAGGTCAGAAGTACTTCAGCTTTGGATTCTCATTTTCCTTATTAAAGGAGCTGAGCACCAGAAGGTAGAGACTCAGAAAGAGGACAGAGAGAAAAACCTCAAATCTGAAGAATACAGATGGTAGTTGTAGCAATCAGTCCATATTTAGCAAATTCCTGTGCAAAACTTCAGTGGAGTAATTATGTATTAGCAGTTATAGCTACACAGTAGGTTCTTTCCTGTGATGCAGTTTTTGGATTGCTAAGATTATGCTAGTATAAGACAACACAGAGAAAGCCGAGAAAGCTAAGGCTGTGATTATTTTGTCCATGATTTGCTACTTTTGGTGATAACATTTCTCAGGTACGCTTTTCACTTTCCAGGTTATTCTCCTATTGGGTTATACGATTACATAAGTCATTATTGTTTCTTTTGGATGTTTCTATCATATCTTTATGTATTTGTATTCACCATTAGTTTGAGCTTTACAGTCTTTCTCTGGTTACATTCTGATCTAGCACCTAAGACCAAAATATTAAAAACAAAGCTATAAACCGTAGTGAAATACAGGACAGACTATAAGGAAAGGGTATCTAGGCTGCTTACATCCAACTTTTAAAGAAGTGTACCTGCACATTAAACACATCTGAATAAGGACTTACATTCCTGAAGTGAGTTTTCTTCCTGCCCCCCCCCCAGCTATAACTCATCATAAGTGAAAACACTGAAGTAGTAAATACCAAAACTATTTTTTAATTCCCATTCTGGAATCTTGTCTGCATTTAAAGACAGTCATCATTATGATTATGTACTGAATATAAGCATAGCTCCGGCACATTAGCTTTTGCAGAAGCACATCCAATGTTTCTCGTCCATGCTTAGCTGTTGCTCTCTTGTTCACTTTCCTGATCATCATCACAACTGTTTTTCTGTCTGGTTCATCTGAGTAGGCTTCTGGTTCTTGATTTTCTCAGAGACCTTTGTTAAACTCAGTCAGCAGTGTGAACCCTGGCAGTATTACTATGCTAATTGATTTTTCCCACTGATAACTCTTTAATATGTTCTGTTATCAGGGTCTTGCTGTGATATACATCAAAATCTGACTGCGACCCCTTTCCTCGTGGAAATGTAGTATCCAGATAGGACTTGCTCTTTCCAGATCGCTTTTCCTTAGTTTTCAACTTCTTCTGACTTGATATCTATAGTAATTGGGCAATTAATTAGTTTATAAACTTTGAGTCCACCTTCTAGTCAGACAGTCTGCTGCCTCCCCACATCATTTGCCTTATATTTTACCCAGTTCATTTTAACAGTGACTTAGAGAAACTACCTCTTAGGCAACACCTCCGTAGTTAAATAATGTGCTGTACTGTTGGAGATTTCTTGCTCTGGGTGGTAGAACTAAGAGCAGTTGAAGTGTGTGTGTTTCAGAGAGATTGAAATTAGTTTGAACATTTCTTTCATTGGTAACTTAACTAGAGATAAATGTATAAAGTGTTTTTCTCCCCATGATATTTTTGTGTTAGATTTTTAACCACTCCCCCACAGATTTTATTGATATAGCTACATATATGTAGTTTTCATAGCATTAGCTAAAGTTTCTGCTTTCAGAGGTGTCTTTGGCAGCCCTTTTGTTCTGCTGTCATTTTTCCAACTGTAGACACAATCATAGATTGGGTCACTGGTTACATTAATCTTAAAAGTAAGCAAACCAAAGAACCCTCAAGGGGCAGCAAAGGACGTACAAATTTCTCTCACTTGACCTTGTTTCTTCTGCTAGGAATGTACTGTCAGTCACCTAGATTTGTTCTGCTATCTTGACTTAATTTTTCCAATGATTGATGCCTTTTTAATTGATATAAAATCTTAGAAAATAATTAGCTACAAGTATATTTTTGATGAGATGTAATTGATCTCACATTCAGTGTTATATTATTAAACAGAAATGTGACAATTTTTCAACTGCATAAGTTATTAAAGGATAGAGATGGTGGAAGGAATTAAAAAATTTAATTTGGGGGTCTTGGCTGAATATAGGTATATAAACTTTCTTAGATTTCTTAATGTTATGCTAGCGAGAAAGTTAGGCATCTCTAAAATTGGTAATATGCTGTAGTTTTGTTGGTCATAATTTTCTTCATATTTTTTCTTACCAGTGCTGTAATACTAGATTGATTTTTGCTCAGTTTACCTTTGCCTCCACCTCTTCCACTCCACTTCCTCTTTCTTTTTTCTTTTTCTTATCTATTAAGAACCTTTTCTTTGCCTGGAAATGGTAGCAATTATCTTTAATCTCTCTTCTCAGAAAGCAGAGGCAGGCAGATCTCTGATTTCAAGGCCAGCCTGGTTTACACAGAGAGCTCCGGGCCAGTAAGGACAAGAGTGAGATTCTTGTCTCCAAGGGGGCCAATATATTTTAAAGAAAAAAAAAAGAAAGACTTGGATTTGAAGGCTGCTTCTTATCTATTAGACGCTCGTATACTCTGAAGCAGACATTACTTTTAATTATATACTTGTTATCTTTTTACCTATTTAATTTACTTACAATATGTTTTGCTCTTTTCAATTGTAATTGTGTAAAATACATTTTACACTGTTTTCTTTCTATTTCATTTTGCCCATTCCCTAGAAATTATTTATTTATTGGTTCATAAATACAGTACCACAATACAAAGCTCAAAGGAGCATAGAATGTTCAGTAGAGTTCTTTTTCTTATCGTTATGAAGTCATCTAGGCCTGTCCTTATAAGCAGTACGTCTTGATGGTGTCTTGCCACTCTATCTAGAGATGATCTGTACAGTGCCTGTATTAATGTACTTATAATTACTCCCTTATAGATCTTTAATTAATGAAATGGTGTGTTACTGTATGGAAGTACATTTTTTGTCGTTTTGTTCTTTCGATAAAATTTTCAATAAAATCCCTGAGTGCTTTTAATCCCAGCACTTGGGAAGCAGAAGCAGGCAGATCTCTGAGTTCAAGACCAGCCAGGTCTATAGTGAACACCAGGACACCCAGGGCTACACAGAGAAACTCTATCTTGAAAAACAAACAACAAAAACAAAAAATTTGTTATCATTCCATATCAACTTATGAAACACTTTTTTTCCTATGGTTTCATGATAACTATACTTCTGAAATTTTAGGCACTTTAAATATTCTTTTATTGTTGGAGGCTGTTTCTTTTCCTGGCTGCTCAGAATAATCACTCCAAAACTATTATAATACTGGTTGGCTTATTAGCTTATACATGTTTCTTACTAGCTCTTACATCTTAAATTAACCCATTTCTATTATTTTATATTTTACCATGAGGGTCATGGCCTATCAGCAAGATTCCAACTGGCAGCTCACATATTTATCCTCTGGCAGCTACATGGCTTCTCATTGACTCCTCCTACTCTCTATATATATCTTTTCCAGCCTGGCTGTACTCTGTTAAGCCATTGGCTGAAAGCAGCTTCTTTATTTATTAAGCAATAAAAGCAACACATATACAGGAAGGACTTCCCACACCATTTCCTCTTTTTGTTCAAATAAAAAGGAAGGTTTTAACTTTAACATAGTAAAGTTACATATAATAAAGCTAGTATCAAGCAATAATAACAGTTAAAATTTTATATCTGCTTTATTTTTTATCATAACTAAAGAAAACTATAATTATAACTGTTTATTCTTAAATTCCATCAAAGACTCCAGAAGGATATATTACCTAAGTAAACAGGAAGTAAATTGTAAGCAACTTTCAAAACTCTAGAATTGACCGAGACATGTCACTGTCTGGACAGTCACCCAAAGTTCTTCTATAACATTGCGGGCATCCATCTTAAGCCTACAGGCCCATAGTATCTGGCAGTCTCTTTCATGAAGCAGAACTCTAAAGGACTTTCTTACCTTTAGGCAAATTCAGAAGTCATTTTTCTGTGGGTCCTGCATGTCCAGTTCATACAGCATATCTTCAAGCAGCCCAGGCAAGAGCTGTTTCTTGCCCAAATGCTAACAAACTCTGTAAGGAGCCTCTTAGATGCCCATCTTCCTCTTGAAGTAGATTGGTGCTGCCAGGAGCAGATGTGTCTCAATGTCATGAAAAATTTTAATTTCTTAAAGCATTTAAATGCCATATTTCGTAAGTTTTTGAAAGGTTTGAAGAATACTTATCCATCTAAAATATATCTCCATACATCCAGAATACCTAAGTAACATGACTACAAGCTTGACTATTATAGATGATTATCTATTAGCCTATATTTCTTAATTATACATTACATTTTTAAATGAGCTGCATGGACACAATACCTTAGTCAAAAGCAGAAATATACATATAACAAAATTGACCTAAAAATTGCATCAATAGACCAAGATCCATACCAATGCAAAGTATTCATATCTATCTCATATTCTCCTTTAAGTGTAAACAAACATTTATAAACAATTATTTAGGGAATTTAGGTGTAGTTCTCTCCAAGCTGCTTCCTGCTTTTTGTTTTGCAAAGTAATTTTTGGGGGGTGTTCACAGTGACCTTTCTGGGGGACTTGGTTCATCAAATCACATTAGTCTAGAAGGAATTCACAGGTTCTCATCTTCTGTGGAAACAGAAGAAGCTCTTTTCCAAAGCAACAAATTCTTAGACCCAAATTTTGAAGTGAAGATACCTTTAAAATGTCTATGTTGGTTTAGCCTTGCAGCCTGTACAATGAAATGTCTCTCTGGATGTAGCTCATTCACAGTCAAAAAATTCAAAGAAAATACAATAATATACATAATCCAGACTCTGTGTATATTCCATGCTTATGTGATTGAGGGATTCTGGAAATTATTTTTAAATTAGTATGGTATTTACAACATGCCAATAATGATCCTAGATTGATCCCAGACTCCTTTTATTGTACTAAACATTGTATTGCTTTAAGTAAAGAATCTTTTAAATTTTAATAAGATAATGAAACTTAACTTTTGTCTTCATAGTTTGAATCAGCTTGGGTCCTGACAAATATTGCTTCAGGAAATTCTCTTCAGACCCGGATTGTGATTCAGGCAGGAGCGGTGCCTATCTTCATCGAGTTGCTTAGCTCAGAGTTTGAAGATGTCCAGGAACAGGTAAAATCTTTGCAGAAACAGATAGGAGCCCACATTTCACATAGTCATACCCAGCTTGAGTTTTATCAAAATGGTCCATAGCTTGTTTAAATAGGAACAGTCCTCTAGTGAGAATTACCCTTCCAACCGTGGGATTCTTGCAGCTTTTATCGGTTTTTTTTTCTTTAATCATGGACATATTACTTATAAAATGGCCTTTTTTAATGTCAGTTTCTATTGCTACTATTAAAAGTCTTTGTCATTTTAAGCCAGACAGTGATAATGCATGCCTTTAATCACAGCACTTGGGAGGCAAAGGCAGGTGGATCTCTGTGAGTTCAAGGCCAGCCTGGTCTACAAGAGCTAGTTCCAGGACAGGTTCCAAAGCTACAGAGAAACCCTGTCTCTAACCACCATCACCACCCTTCCCCCCCCCCCCCCCCCGCCACCACCACCAAAAAAAGTCTTTGTCATTTGTTCAGAAAAGACAGAAAACAAACTTTTGTTAATTACCAGCCTTAATAAATTTGTAAGGATAAGCCACTACTAAGTGAATATGATTTTCTTTTGAAGTTTTGAGGGAGAATTAAAATACAATAGACCACTATATTTAGATGCCTACACCTATGAAGCCATTGTTGTAAAATTACAGTCGCCAGCATTACAAGTTTAATAAACGTGTCTATATTATTATTTCAGCTGTCTGTTTAGTTTCCAATTGTAAACAACCTTAAGTACATTTTTAGTCCACCTATTGAGCCATTTAAATCCCTGTTTTGTACAAAGGACTGTTTAAAATATTACTTATAAGTAACGGTAAGATCCATTAAAAATAATTGACTCCAGACTAGGTATGTTGCTTTATGGAGCAATTATTCACCTTTTGTGAGGTACTGAGTTCAGTTCCTAGCACTGGGAAAAGAGTTCTCTTTTACTAGTAAAGCTTTTACTTTAATGAAATAATATTTTCTTTGTTTGTTGTGTAGTAATTGCATTTTCTAACACTGATACTATAACTGGTTTTACTCCCTTATGAGTGATTTTAAGAAAATAATAGTCCTTATGTAAAATGTTGATTTTATAAAGTGTTACTGTGATCTGCTGGCATCTCTTTTGAAAGAATTATGAGGGAATGAAAATATTCAACTTTATTGATGAATAACTCTTTCACAGGCAGTCTGGGCCCTTGGCAGCATTGCTGGAGATAATACCATGTGCAGAGACTATGTCTTAGACTGCAATATCTTCTCCCCTCTTCTGCTGTAGGTTTCTTTTCTCTTTCTGAGTAATGTATACATAAGAAGTATTACACCTTGGGAAGCCATGTTGTGTTTTCCTTGTGTTCTTTTGAGTCCATGTATTTTCTTGTTACTTTGTTAGGTTGATGTCTCTTATTGAAATTCTGAAATACTGCATTAGAATTAATGTTTCTCTTCAAAGAATGAATAATTTAAGAAAATGAATATTTATTTTGGAGAATAAAGACATCTCTTATCAGTAGTAGTATTTTCTATAATTAGGATCTTTTATAATTTACTGTGGGTTCATTATACTTGTAGGTTATTTTCAAAGCAAACTGCTTGAACATGACTCAGAATTGCAGTATGAGCTTTATCTAATCTCTGTAGAGGGAAGAGTCCACCTCCAGAATTTGCTAAGGTAAACACTATCCTTGTTGGAAATCATTAGGAAAAAAATGCTCTTAAAGTAATATAGTAACCACCATTAATGTTTATAGAAATACGATTTTTGTTTAAATTTTTTAGAGTGTTAGAAAATCTATTTGGGGGCTGGAGAGATGGCTTAGTGTTTAAGAACACCGACTGCTCTTCCAGAGGCCCTAAGTTCAATTCCCAGCAACCACATGGTGAAACCATCTGTAATGAGATGTGGTGCCCTCATCTGGCTTGCAGGCATACATGCAGGCAGAACATTGTATACGTAATAAATAAATAAAATCTTTTTTAAAAAAAGAAATTGTAGTAGAAACAATGCTTTTGGTAGTTTTTGTTTTAATTTAGGGTAATTTCTAACTCCCAGTATGAAGCTCTGTATCACTCTTAGAACCATAGCAGTTTTTGTTGATAACAAAGTTCTGTAACAGAATTTCTCTGCTGTAGTATCTTTGAAAGTTCCTCTACTTTCTTTTTGTAAGTATGTACTGTAACAAAGAATTCTAATTTAAGGATTAATACACGGCATTTTTTCCCCTGAAATCATTTTCATTGGGTTCTGACTACCTCAGCTCAGAAAACTGATTAATCACTGGCCACATTGCCAGAGATTGAAATGTCCTTCAAACGCTTGACGGTGTAAACCACTCGGTGACTCAGCAAGTGTCTGCCTGATAGGCTTCTTGAGAGTCTTAATCTTACTTCAGTTTGTTTCAGTTGAGTTTCTACTCATCTTTTCTTTTCTAGGTTTCTCCCTGTCTGAATGTCCTTTCCTGGCTGCTGTTTGTCAGTGACACTGACGTGCTGGCCGATGCCTGCTGGGCCCTCTCATACCTGTCAGACGGACCCAATGATAAAATTCAAGCAGTCATCGATGCAGGAGTATGTAGGAGACTTGTGGAGCTTCTGATGTAAGATGATCTTCAAGAAAGTGTGTCTGTGATAAACCACACTGAAAGCAGCTTAGAGGAGGAAGAGATTTACTTGACTCTCACTTCCAGGTCACAGTCTGTCACTGAGGGAATCCAGGGAAGGAGCTGAAGTAGAAACTATAGATGAACTATGAACCAGAACTATGAACGAGCTTCCTGCCTTGTTCTCTGCTTTGCTCCCATCTCATGCTCCACCAGCTTATCATGGGGTGGCTGGGCCCTGCCCTCTCATGTCAGTCGTCAGCTATGACAGTCCCTCACAGACATGGCCACAATCCAGTCTAGTCTTAAGTAGATGGCTCTAGACTGTGTTAAGCTAGCAGCTGGTACTAACTTATATACTCTGCTATTTTCCATATTTCTAATGCTTTGGTTGTACGTTTTAATTGATTTATTGTGCACTGGCCGATTGTCTCTTGTTTATTATGATGCCATGTTTTGGTTTGCTTTTTTGAGATTTAGTGAAGAATCTATTATATCTCTACCATTATGAGCCCTTTAGCAGAATTATTTGGAAAGCTCTGCCTATGTAATTCTGTCTCTGTTGTTCATCCCATACTGGAAGGCCTAAGGTCAGATACTAGAAACCTTATATGGTAAAATGCCATTTTTTACTTTCTCATTAAAGGAAAACACCAGACTGGCATCAGACTTTGAATCCTGTTTTTGTAATGCTTTTGGTGATAGCATAGAAGATTTATTTACTTATGGCATAAGTAATTTTAGACTGTATTAATCAAATCTTTAGTTAATACTTAGAAGAAAATATAGACACAATAGCATAACAAATAGTACAGTTATAAGCATCGTGAACTTGATTGGTGTACAAACCATTTGTAGAGACAATGTCTTGTATAATTACTGGGATTATAGCTGGTTACAGACTGGTTGCCGACCATTAGTGTAGTATTGGTACAAGTTAAAGGCAACATGGTGCTACTGGGGTTCAAAGAATTCAAGATCTTGAAAACAGTCACCTTTGTCCTTAAGATTACTACATGTTTCATTTTAATCATTAGATCTTAAATGTGGAGGAAGAGAATAGGGTCTTAGAGGAGAGTTACAGGGGTATTGCTTTATTTACCCTGAAATCTATACTTACTATCTGTCCTCCCAGATACGTAGGAGGCTTTGTGGACAGCTTTTTACCATAAAGATTGCCTTGTAGGTTAGTGAAACAGAAAAACATTTGAAGTGTAAATCTCACTTTGGTTTTTAAGATAGCTGAACTGTTGACATAGCATTTTCAGAATGTAAGCAGTGCATAAATGTCACCTGTGCTTCCCAGTTGTCTCAGCAGCTCCAGGAGACCAAGAAAAGAGGAGAGGGGCTATAGAATAAGAGAAAAATGGAATTTAGTGCTAGAGTACCTGGGAAAGATTACTAGGATGAAATTTATTTAAAAATAGGGGAAAAGATTGCTTTTCTAGGTAATGGTCAATTCTGCCACCATGCTAAGTTCCCTAAATAGCCATAGTCATAAAGTACCTTTCTGTTCTAAAATTGAATCACATCTTCCTTATTTTGGATTTCATCCCCTAAAAAATTATTCTGGATACAACTGTTGACTCTAGCATCTCTCTTTCTCTTTTTTAATGGTTGCAGGCATAATGATTATAAAGTGGTGTCTCCTGCTTTGCGGGCTGTGGGAAACATTGTCACAGGGGATGATATTCAGACACAGGTATGAACGCGTGCTAACGTTTTCCTAAAGTGAGTCCCTTGAGCTTTGTGAGCACAGTTCTGTTATATTGAATTCTGTATTGTTAAGAATGACTGACACTGTTTTGCTGTCCTCAGTTTCGTTAGTATTTCTCTTTTGTCCTGTGACTTGTAGCGATTGTAGGTTCCCTTATGAAATAATTTTTCCCTAAGTCAGTTTTCTCCCTGCTTTTATTTGTAGTGGATCTTAGGAGCACCAGGTAAGCTTTCCAGCAGTGCGTTTCTGGTCGCTCCCTTCCGTGGTGTATGCTGAGGCTTTTGTAAGGAAGAGGCCTGTCATAGTTCTCAATATCCATTCTACTTTGATAACAAGCAAGCCATCCACAGTGAATCATTTTAACTGTCTTATTTTCCCTCCACATTTCTGATGCATTGATGATGATGTCATACATTTTTTTTTTCTGTGCTTCCATGATACAGAATACTTAGATTTTTGACTTAGGAAGCTCTGTTTCCTGTTCTCATGTGTTTGGGAATTCTCTAGGGAACAGATCTTCAGCCTCATTCCTGCATTTATTACCCTTTTGTGCATGGACTTTAAGAATTGAGAGTAAGATGTTAGGTATCTCAGTCAGCTTTACAATTATAATGTTTTTAATTCTAGTTTATTCTGTCTACAAGAGAACTTGTTTCTCCCTCTTTATCTGGTCCTGTTTTAGTTTCTAGTCTTAGTATTTTGCTCTAATAGTGTCCCCTGCCAGCAGTACATGTTCTAGCTTGACTCTACTCTATCACCGTTCACTGTGCCCTGTTACTTCGTCACGAATCATCCCTTACATTACTTGATGTAGGTGTCTTAGGTGAGAGAAAAGAGAATATATATTTGATTGTATTTATTTGAAATTCCTCTGGAACCACACATACAAAATTAATATCATGGATTATCTCTGAGAATAATTTGACTGTTGGAGTAGAGTAACAGAACAGAAGGGAAAGGAGTTTCTTACATATGCAATCCTTATACATTCTGAATTTTTAAAATACTGTATGTCTATGTGTGTATATGGATGTGCATGTGTGTGCCATAGCTTCTATGTGGAAGTCAGAGTACTTTGGAGTTGGTTTTTATTCTTTCATTAAAATGAGTTATAAGACTCAAACGTGGCAAATGCCAGTCTTAGATTTTGAACCATGTTAATGTATTTACTTGGTTGGGGGGCAACTTTATAGGGCTGAAATACAACTCAGTGGTAAATTGCATGCCTAGCATATGTGAGGTCTGAGTTCAATTCCTGCCCCTACACAACAAAAAGTTTTGGCCATCTTCCTTGTCCCACTCATGCTTTTTGTTTTTGCCCTGTTTGTTCATTGAGTTTTGACTAACTGGACTGACCACTCTTAGCTCTGAGTTTTAACACATACTTTTTTTTCCTTCCTCTACCATCCCTGCCCTAGCCACCCCTCCCCCCATATCTATACTCGTTTTACTAATGTCTTACTCTTTGTGCTTTTTATATTAGTATTGTTTTCTTTGGGAAGCTTCTTTAGAACCTCAAGCTCTTTAATTTAGGTAGTAATCTTTTACAAGCGCACTAATCATACTGTATTATTACTATATAATTTATAGGGACATTACTTTTCTCATCACTGAAGAATATCTTCCCTAAAAAAGTTAAAAGGTTATTTGAACTGGAAGTGGCGGTGTACAGTTTTAATCCCAGCACTTGGGAGGCAGCGACAGGTGTCCTCTGAGCTTGAGGACAGCCAGGGCAACATAGAAAAATCCTGTCTCGGGGACTGGAGAGATGGTTTAGAGGTAAAGAGCACTGGCTGTCCTTCCAGAAGTCCTGAGTTCAATTCCCAGCAACCACCTGGTGGTTCACAACTGTATATGATGAGATCTGGTGCCCTCTTGTGACTTGCAAGCATACACATAGACAAAACAGCATAATAAATAAATTAATCTAAAAAAAAAGAAGATGAAGAACCACCAAAAAGTTTATTTGGGCTTACAGTTTCTGATAGTTCCACCTGTAGTCAATTGGTTCTGCATTTGGGGCCTGTTACAAAGCAGAATATTATGGTTCTGAGAATAAGTGACAGAGGAGCTTTTCCATATTAAGTCTGCTGGAAAATAGAGGAAAGAACAGACAAAACACACAGCTCCATGAACTGCTTCCTCCCATCTTTCAGAGTTTCTACAACCAAAGCTGGCTTTGAATTCAGAAGAGATCCACTTGCCTCTCCCTTCCAAGTGCTGGGATTCGAGGTGCATTCCACCGTACTTGTCCTCTATTTGTAGATGTTTTTAAAGATTTATTCATCTTATTTTATGTGTGAGTGTTTTGTGTGCATGTGTCTGTGTATAGCATGTAAACTTGGTGCCTGTGACGAGCAGAAGGCATCATATCTCCTCCAACTGGAGTAGAGGATGGATGTGAACCACCATATGGGTTTGAATCTGGGTCCTCTGTAAGAGCCACCATCTCTCCAGCCCATGTTAGTTTTTAATACTAACATTATTGTAGATGAGTAGTATAGGTTTTGTTTTGCTTTGAGAGCAAAGTATAACTGTAATGATCAAGCTGTGCTCAAAATTCAAGATCATCTCTTGTTTGTCTCCCAAGTTCTTAAGTATGGGTGTGTACTATCACAAGGCACAGTGTTTGTGAATGTACATAGTGAAACCAGATTCATAGTCTTTAATGTATTTCAGACTAGCACTAAATATTATTTTAATGGACTGGTACGTTGGCTCAAATGGTAAAGGCACTTACCACTGAGTTTGATTCCTAGGACAAAGGATGAAAGGAGACACCCTACTCCTACAAAGTTTTCTCTTACCTCCATGTGTACTGTGATACAGTCAAGCCACATGCATACATACTCATAAGTAAATACAATTTAAAAGCTATATATATATATATACATATATATATAAAGTTAATTTTTAGAATTCCAGTTTTTTTCCTCCTACATTGTAGTAAAATAAGTTTATTTTGGTTTTTTTTTTTTTTGTTTGTATTTTTTTTGTTTTTTTGAAACAGGGTTTCTCTGTTTTTCAAGACAGTTTGTTGAATTAATGTTTACTTATTTCCCCTTTGGGAGTGGACACAGGAAGATCCAGGATTTCAAATTCTTCTTCCAGTATGCATTGAGGCCAACCTGTGCTTCATAAGACCTTGCCTCAGCAAACAAAATTTGGAACTATGCTATAAGTAAAACTGAATAACCTGTTTTCTTCTTTTAGGTAATTTTGAATTGCTCAGCTCTTCAGAGTTTACTGCACTTACTAAGTAGCCCCAAGGAATCTATCAAAAAGGAAGCCTGTTGGACAATATCTAATATTACAGCCGGAAATAGGGCACAGATCCAGGTAATGCCAGAGTGCCTGCATTTTTTTTAATCCCTGTGTGTGAGATGCATTTTCAAAAAACTTTATTATTGTTTAAGTGTATATGCCTGTTTAAGTGTATGTGTGTCATGTGCATGCTGTGCTTAGAGACCAGAAGAGGGCATTGGATCTCCTGGAACTAAAGTTACAGGGAAGTTGTGAGCCATCTGTGGGTGTTGGGAAGTGAACCTGGATCCTCTGAAAGAGCAGTACACAGCTGAGCTGTCTCTTTTAATTAATGATGTGTAAGGTTGTTTTGGTCAGTCTTTAAAATCGTCCTCTAATTTCTTCTAAAACTGTCAACTTCCTGTGTCACTATTTCAGTCTTCATTTTCTCTCTTCTGATGTTTGTTTTTTGATACTTAGACCATGCATTTTCTCTTTACCTTTAAAGTCTGATAATTTTACCAGAGATCCAAAAAAAGGTCTCTGTTTTCAAAATATTTTGATGGAAATAGGTTTTCTTTACTTCTTATTAAACTATATTTTCCAGTGAACCCATGTGTTAGAGTTTGTAAATTTTTCATGGAGTATTAAAGATCTATCCTGGAACTTACTGTTTTAGAGTCCATAGAAATCATAGAGATCTGCCCTCCTTTATTTTCTGAGTGCCAGGATTAAAAATGTATACCACCAGGCCTAGGAGGGTCTGTTTTCTTTAAATATGCCCTTTGCAGAATTTCCCTTTTTTTCTTTTTCTTTCTTTTTTCTTTTTTTTTAAAAAGATTTATTTATCTATTAAGTCTACAGTGTTCTGCCTGCAGGCCAGAAGAGAGCTCCAGATCTCATTACAGATGGTTGTGAGCCACCATGTGGTTGCTGGGAATTGAATTCAGGACCTCTGGAAGAACAGCCAGTGCTCTCCAGCCCCCCAACACACACACACACACACACACACACACACACACACACACATTTATGTATGTATGTATGTATGTATGTATGTATGTATGTATTTATTTATTTTCAACACAGGGTTTCTTTGTGTAGCTTTGGAACCTGTCCTAAAACTTGCTCTGTAGCCCAGACTGGCCTCGAACTCACAGAGATCTGCCTGCCTCTGCCTCCCGAGTGCTGGGATTATAGGTGTGTGCTACCACTGCCTGGCTAGAGTTTCTCTCCTTTTTTTTCTTTTTTATTTGAGAAATTATACAAACCTATGCTAGGTTTTTGGGCCAGTTTCAAGCATAAAGAAAGTATATGAGGCAGAAAAGTAATAATATGTAAGTGGAATTTAGTAAAAGTATCCCATTAATAAGAAACCTTGGATTTTTTTGAGGCAGGGTCTCAGTGTGTAGCCCTGGCTAGCCTGAAGCTTGTTATGTAGACTAGGGTTAGGTTCACATTCTCAGAGATCTGTCTGCTTCTCCCTCTCGAGTATTGCAATTAAAGCATGTGTCAACATTTCCTGGCCCAGGGCATTAAATATTCATTCATTCATTTATTTATTGTGTATATGTTTGAGTCATACACAGGTAGGCAAATGCTGAGACTTTCATTTTGAGCTTGCTATCACATTTTACGTTTCCAGTGGCTTCTAGAAATTAGAACTGTTTGTCTGTATTGTGGCAAGCACTTTTATCCACTAAACCATCTCTTCTGCCCTGATGAGACTTAAAACCACAAGCTCCTCCATAATAGTAATATTAGCTATAGTACAGAGCCCATGTTAGAAGGAGAAAACCAGTGCTATGCCTATTCATTCTCACATACACATTAATAATAAATAAAATAAAAATTTAAAAATGGCAGTAGGTAAAACAAACATCGTTTGTCAAGTTAGTTCAGAAGTTATTCTTTTTAATCCCAGCACTTAGAGACAGAGACAGATGGAACTCTGAGTTGAGGGCTAGCCTAGTCTACATAACAAGTTCCGTACTGTAGTCAGATACTGCTTGTTTGTTCCTGGGCACCCAGAGCTGAAATAGTCATACAGAAACTATTAATTAAATCACTGCTTGGCCTGTTAGCTTGTGCATATTTCTAGCTAGCTCTTACATCTTAAATTAACCCATTTCTATTAATCTGTGCATCACTGCTAGGTCGTGGCCTATGGTGGCCTACCAGCAAGGTTCCTCCAGTGTCTGACTCCGCTTCCTTTCTCCTAGTATTCAGTTTAGTTTTTCCGCCTAGCTCTATTTCTGCCCTATCACATTAATCAATAAAAACAACACATATACAGAAGGCCATCCCACATCACCTCCCATTTTCTGTTTAAATAAAAAGGAAGGTTTTAACTTTAACACAGTAAAATTACATAAAACAGTTATCAAGCAAGGATTATAGTTACAATATTTATATTTACTTTATCTTTTAACATAACTAAGGAAAACAATAATTGTAACTATTCTTCAATTCCATCAAAGACCCCAGAAGGATGTACCTAAGTAAACAGGAAGTGCTTTATAAGCAGCTTCCAAAACTCTAGAATTGACAGAGACATCTTATTGTCTGGATAGTCACCCAAAGGACTGTCTTACCTTTAGGCAAGTTCAGCAGTCATTTTTCTGTGGGTCCTACGTGTCCAGTTTATACAGCATATCATCAGGCTCTCCAGGCAAGAGCTGTTTCTTCCCCAAATGCTAACAAGCTTCATAGCCTCTTAGATGCCCATCTTCCTCTTGAAGTAGATTGATGCTGCCAGGAACAGATGTATCTCTTTGTCATGAAAAGTCCTAAGTTCTAAAAATATTTTAAATGCCATATTCTGTTAGTCTTTGAAAGATTTGAAGAACATCTATCCATCTGAAATTTATTTGTACATCTAGAAAACCTAAGATGACTAAATGTTTGACTATTATTGATGATTATTCGTTAACCTGTATTTCTTAATTATGCATTACATTTTTAAATGAGCTGCAGAAACATAGTACCTTAATCAAGAGCAGAAATGTACATATAACAAAATTGACCTTAAATTTGTATCAGTAAACCAAGATCCATACCAATGCAAAATATGCATCTCTATCTTATATCCCCCTTTAAGTGTAAACAAACATTTATAAACAATCATTTAGGGAATTTAGGTGTAGTTCTCTCCAAACTGCTTCCTGCTTTTTGTTGGGCAAAGTAATTTTAGGGGTTAATGGAGACCTTTCAGGGGGTCTTGTTCCATACAACCACATTAGTCTGGAAGGAATCCACAGGTTCTCATCCTCTGTGGAAACAAATGCAGAACCTGTTTTCCAAAGCAACAAATCCTTAGACTCAAATTTTGAAGTCAAGATATCTTTAAGTATATATGTTGGTTTAGCTTAGCAGCCCGTACAATGAAATGTCTCTCTGTACTTAGCTCACTCAGTCAAAAAATTCAAAGGAAACACAATAATATAAATATATACATAATCTAAAGTCCGTGTATATTCCATTGTTATGTGGCTTATTTTTCTTTAATCCTTTAATCTATGACTGTGTGTACTCTTAAAGACTTTGTTTTAATTTTAAAAAAATCATTGCTTTTTTTGGAATCCCCATCACCAGGCTAAACAGAGCTATTTAGTGAGACCTGGTTTCAGAAACCAAACTGAAACAAAGCAACTTATAATGACCTTTAGTGATATTTCACAAATAGTGTAACTTTCTTGTTCTTTTAACTTTTTCTTCAATTGCAGACTGTGATAGATGCTAACATGTTCCCAGCTCTCATTAGTATATTGCAAACCGCTGAATTCCGAACAAGAAAAGAAGCTGCTTGGGCCATCACAAATGCAACTTCTGGAGGGTCAGCTGAGCAGATCAAGTAAGTACCACCTAGGTAGTGTTTTATAAATTAAAGGAAATCAAGTTATCCTCTTCATCCTATTCCCAATACATAACCTAAAAAGAAAAGATTGATTTTCTTGATCACTAAGAAGTGAACTTCTTGATTATAAGCAATTAAGCCTGGCACTTTGAGAAATTGTTTTCAGTGCTATAATTAGACTAAGAAGTACATTTATTCTTTTTAAGTGTTATTTTAAAAGCTGTTCTAATTCATATGGGTGTGGGTATGTGTGTGTACACAAACGCCAGTACCTGGAAGGCTAGACAAATGAGATCTGAGAACTAGAGTGATGGGAAGTAAACTCTGTAAGAGTAGCAAGTGCTCTAGCGCCTGAACCATCTCTGCAACCTCTACCTTGAATTTTTAACACTCGTCTTTCCTCTCTCCCTTTCAGTTTTTATAAAAGATTTATATGTGTGTACATTTGTGTGTATCTGTCTTTTTCTCGCTGTCTCTGTGTGTTTGCCTCGTGTTCTTAGGTGTTCATGGAGGCCGGAAGAGGCCTTCATATTCCATAGAGCTGGAGTTCAAGCAGTTGTGAGCTTCCAGGTGTGGGTGTTGGGAAGAGATCTTGAGTTCTCTGGAAAAGCAACATCATTCTTAACTACTGAGCCATCTCTGCAGCCCTTCATATTTAGGTTTTTGTTTTGTTTTGTGTCTTTATTTTTTTTAAGATGGAGTTTTTTCTGTGTAGTCCTGACTGTCTTGGAACTTGCTCTATAGATCAGACTGGTCTGAAACTCAAGGAGTTGCCTTTCTGCTTCTAGAGTTCTGGGATTCAAGGTGTACATCACTGTGCCCCAACAGATTTATACTGTTTTCTACTATAGTGGTTTTTAATTTCAGAGTCTTAACTGTTCATTACTAGCATATCAAAGTTAAATTTGTGAATTAGCTTTCTGTTATGCCTTATATAATGGACTCTTTCTTTACTTAATATCCAGGCCTGTCTGGGCCAGTTTTTTGTTTTTTTTTTTTTGTTTGTTGTGTATTTCTCCTCCATATAGACAATAATGAAAGAAGAGTTTTCTTCCATTCCTTTTTATATATCTTTTAAAAAGCATACTGTTTGGGATCTTGTGTAGTGTGCAATAGGAGTAGAGAGTACCCCTTCCTTATTCCATATCTTTGTTCTCAATATGATGTTAGCTGAGAAGTTCTTGTTTAGGCTCTTTATCATATTCCCTTTATCCTTAGTTTGCAGGGAGGTGTTTTTTAATAATCAAGAAGGGCTTTTGATTTTCTTAATCTCCATGTCATCAGCAGTGATATCCCTCTTTACCATATAATGTTAGTAATTTTATGTGTTCTCTCTCCCCTTCTGGAGATTACCTATGTATTTTCAGTTTGAAGTAGTGTAGAAAGAAAATAGTTAAAAGACTAGTACCAAGTTCCACAGTGACATTATTCACATATACAAGTTTTACTAATCTATAGCTTGTGTCCATTCTACTTAATCCAGATTACATGTTAAATCTTGCTGGAGTTAAAAGAAATACAGCTATAGAGTTCTTCCATTTGCTTCATTCTTAGTTCACACAATTTGTATTTGAGAAGTGTGAGTACATACAGAAATAATGCCAACATTAACTATCAAAACTATATGTACTGCTAGGGGTAAAGGAGATAGATGACTTAGTGGTTAAAACCCTGGTTCTGCATCAAGTAAGTGCTGCATAAGTCTGACAGTCCAGCCGTACGTCCAGCCTCACAAGACAGAGATCATACCCCGGGCGTCCTTGCTAGTTAGACTTGCCACATCAGTAGGCTCTGTTGGGATGAGGCACCTGCTTTGATGAATAATGTGGAAGAATCATCAGGGTTATTTCTGACATCAACTTTGTGTTCCTGCCTTCACTTGGACACATGTATGTCCACATCCCCTAAGTGTACCCATATACATGTAAAACATGCATCTTGGAATACTGTCCATGTGAAAAATGGAGAAAGAACCAAGCAGCGGTGGTGCATGCTTATACAGATCTCTTGTGTTTGAGGTCACCTGGTTCAAGAGGTCAAGGATAGCTAGGGCTACCCAGAGAAATCCTGCGTCAAAAGTAATCCAAAAGAAAGAAGAAATAAACAAAACTTATTTTGATAAGTCATTCATACAAATGAGAAGAATTCCTTTAAAAAAAAGTACAAAAATTATGAAAGGGGGGAATGTTATTATTAGATAACTCAATTTGTGTTTTTTGGTGGTGGTTTGGTTTTGGGTTCTTTGTTTTGTTTTTGTTTGGATTTTTTTGGTTCTTGGTGATGAAATACAATTGTTAATGATTTTGAGGCAGGATCTTACT